AAAACACAAGAAAAAAAAAAAAGAAACGTCCAGGTCATGATGGATTCACAGCTGAATTCTACAAGACATTTACAGAAGATATAATCCCTACACTCCTCAAAATCTTCAATGAAATTGAAAAGGAAGCAGTTCTCTCAAAATCATTCCTGGAAGCAAGTATTATACTGATTCCAAAACCAGGGAAAGACACAACTAAAAAAGAGAACTATAGGCCAATCTCCTTCATGAACATAAGTGCAAAAATCCTCAATAAAATCCTAGGAAATAGAATACAGCAAATCATCAAGAAGATCACACACCATGACCAGGTTGGATTCATCCCAGGGATACAAGGATCATTAAATATTAAAAAATCTATAAATTTAATACACTATATCAATAGAGCAAAATGTAAAAACCACATGATCATGTCAATTGATGCAGAAAAGGCTTTTTACAAAGTCAAACACTCATTCATGTTCAAAGTCCTACAGAAAATTGGAGTAGAAGGCCTCTACTTCAATTTGATAAAAGCCATCTATGACAACCCAACTAATATAATTCTAAATGGGGAAAAACTGAAATGTTTTACTCTCAGATCTGGTACAAGACAAAGATGTCCTACTGCCACTCCTATTCAGTATAGTTCTGGAATCATTAGCTAGAGCCATTAGACAAGAGAGAAATACAAGGAATAAAAATAAAGAAGAAGTTAAATTATCATTATTTGCAGATGACATGATACTTTATTTTTAAGACCCAAAAAACTTCACCAAGAAGATACTAGAATTGATACACAAATTCAGTAGCATAGCAGGTTATAAAGTCAATACTCAAAAGTCACTAGCATTCCTCTACGCAGATAACAAACACACTGAGAGGGAAATTATAGAAACAATACCTTTTACAATAGCATTGAGGAAAATGAAATACCTTGGAATTCACTTAACCAAAGAAGTAAAAGAACTTTTCATGGAAAATTACAGTACTCTGAAAAAAGAGATCATAGAAGATATCAGAAAATGGAAAGATATTCTATGCTCCTGGATAAGAAGAACCAACATTGTGAAAATGGCCATATTCCCAAAATTGTTGTACAGATTTAATGCAATCCCTATCAAACTACCACCAACGTACTCACAGACCTAGATAAAATTTATTTGGAACCAGAGAAGACCTAGAATAGCAAAGGCAATCCTGGCCAACAAAGACAAGGCAGGAGCATTACAATTCCTGACTTGAAATTATACTACAAGGCTACTGTAATAAAATCAACATGGTATTGGCAATGAAATAGACGTGAGGATCAATGGAATATATTAGAAGATGAAGAGGCCTCTACGAACACTCTCATCCACCTGATCTTTGACAAAGGGGTCAAACACACTAAAAGAAAGATATCCTCTTTAACAAATGGTGCTGGAAAAACTGCCTCTCTACATGCCGAAAACTAAAACTTGACTGAGGTCTATCACTGTGCACTAAGCTAAAGTCAAAATGGATTAAAGATCTAAACATTAAAACAGAAACACTAAATCTCCTGGAAGAGAAAGTAAGTGGAATTCTTTAAGACATAGGGGTAGGTAAAGAGTTCATGAACAAAATCAAATTGCAGGGGTAACACTTAAAAGAATTAACAACTGGGATCTCTTCTTATTGAGAAGTTTTTGCATGTCAAAAGAAATTACCAACAAAGGGAAAAGACAATCCAAAAATTTAGAAAAAGTCTTAAATAATAAGCACTCAGACAAAGGTCTGCTCTCTAGAATTTATAAAGAACTAAAATACACTAGGGCCCCTAAATTTAAAGACCCCATCCAGAAATGGGCATCATAGATGAACACACACTTCTCAGAGGATGAAATTAAAGAAGCGAATAAATATATGAAAAAATGCTCCACATCACTAGCCGTTCATGAAATGCAAATTAAGACCACATTGAGATATCATCTCACCCCAGAAAGAATGGCTATCATAAAGAAATCACCCAACAACAAATGTTGGAGAGGCTGTGAGGAAAAAGGAACCCTTCTTCCATGCTGGTGGGAATGTAGACTGGTACAACAGTGCAGAGACTCCTTAAGAAACTAGGACTGGAAATCCCATTCAAGTGAGCTATCCCCCTACTGGGAATTTTCCCAGAGTAACTGAAAATGTCATATCATAGTGATATATGAGTACCTATGTTTATAGCAGCACAATTTGTGACAGCCAAATCTTGAAAACAACCAAGATGCCTGTCACATGAGTAATGGTTGAAAAAGATGCAGTATTTGTATACAATGGAGCATTACTCAGCTATAAAGAATGATAAACTTGAAGCATTTATATTTAACTGGATGCCACTTGAAGATATACTCATAAGTGAAATAAGCCAGACACACATGTGTAAATATCATATAGTTTCCCTAGTATAAGAAATCAAAAGAAGAAATACAAATAGAAAGTTGTAACATAACTAAAGGGAAAACGAGAACTTACGGATTGGATGAGGAGAGGGTAAAGTGAAAAGCTGGGAAACAGGACAGGGACAAAGCCATACATTTATACGCACAAGCTAGGGAAGGCAATGACTCTGAGAAACATCAGCAGGTTTTTCAAACTAGCAGTTAATTGGTAGGATTCTCAACCTGACTAACTAGATGCTGATATCTGTGAACCAAGCAACTGCACTAAGGATAGCAATGTGTAATAGAAGGGTCATGCTTGGAATGCCTGTCATTCTGGTCTTCTAAATATATACTTCTTGTCATGACATACCAATTATTACCATACTGTCTCACAGGTAAAAGGCTTTTTTTGTTTCGTTTTGTTTTTAAATGGGTAATAAATGAAAAAAAAAAGACACAAGAAAAAGAAAAAAAAATGTCACAGGACTGTCCTGCTACAATGCTGTATATGGTTAGATTTCTAAATTTCTGTGTAAAAATATGTGTTTATTCCTATTTAAAATTTTTTTCTTCATATTCTGTAAGGACTTAAATTTCAACACATCAATACTTGATGGAAGATACCTGTTGCACATTATGCCTAAGATGTTTGATATTTAGACAGATAGGGTAAACCAAACTGCATATGTTGCAGGGTAATAATAAGCTACTCTTTTGGAGGGTTAACAACCTACGTTTGCAGATCAAAAATTGGAGAAAAGGAAGGGCTGCAAGGTCCACCAACATTTTGGTCCTAGCCTTTCAAAGTCAGTGAAGACTGAGGACATAGGAGAACCGTACTGTAGCATCATGTAACTCAGTTTTACCCCACATTTTCTGATCAAGGAGATTATGGATCCACAGAGGAATGTGATCAATGATGCATAGCATGCCTAAGGAGAGTCACATGGTAAGAAAACTTTCTCTCAGGCTTTCACAGAGAGCAAATTGGTCAAGCATTGGCCATGACTCATCCACGTGGCTGACACTGACAAGGGATCTAAAAAGTGCAGTACAGGGTTACAAGATAAATCCTGAGGGAACTTGACTGACCTTATCAGATACAAAAATTACATTTCTTGTCATATAGGTCTTGCTTTATCTTGGCCTTAACCATGCAGCAGAAAAGTATAAAAACGAGGTATATAAAGTAAAGCCACATTAATATGCTGAGCTGTAAAAGGCTCTAGTCAACAACTTCTGTGGATAACCCACTACTATTGTGAACTGCTGTACTGTGTTGGATTGTTTTGCTGAATTCAAGCACTTATAGTATTTAGATGCCAATAGAATTCCCATCTCTAACAGGACTAAACAAAAAAAGTGGATACATAGGAAGGACCATTTTGTATTTGTATATACAGAATAGTTAGGATAGATATACAGCTACTTTCGCTTAATTCAATGAGAAGAAAGATTTATAGAAATAGTGTTTGGACAGGATATCCTGTCTGCTTCTTGTACTATGGATAACCACTAAGAGGATAACAATGTACAATGTAGTAATTATTGAAAATGTCCTATTAATCAGCTTTGAAACTGTCTCATTGATATTTGTTTCTCAATAAAATAGAATAAGGGCCAGGAAGATGGCTCAGTGGAATAAGCACTGCCTGGTAAGCGCAAGGGCCTGAGTTCAATCCCCGGTTCCACCAAAAATAAATAAATAAAATAAAATAAAAATAAATAAATAAAATTTGCATTCTCTAAATATGTATGATTTGGACTGCAGATTACAACTCTGTTCATTTATTATGAAAAAACTTCCTATTCACTTATCTCATAAAACTCATCCTGTGTTGCCTGAGTTAATAAATTTAGTATAATCTGTTAAAAAAAAAAAAGGATGGTGGGGGCAACGATCAGGAGGATAGGACATGACTGCTCATAGCCATAAGGCTTTCTTTTTGGATGGTAAAAACATTCAAAAATTAGATTCTGGTGATATCTGTGAACATACCAAAAGTGATTACATTTTAGGCTTTAAACAGATGAGTTATAGGGAACATAAATCATATCTCAATAAAGGTGTGAAAAATATAGTAATGCATCCAGAGAAAATAATATGATCTACTTAAAAAGATAAGCCACATTCTATGTATCATTAAGAACAACATCATCTATGCTGGTGTCCTCATTGCCACTCTGATGAACACTTTGACTACCTACCTGTTCCCATTCATGCTTCGATAACTGATCAGAAGAGGAATCTTTTGATGGGACTCCCCCTGACAGGATGATTGCGCCTGCTTTCTTTTTCTCTGGCTCAATGGAACTTCCTGCCAATGGAGGTAGCAGCACAGATTTCATCTACAAAAACAATTTTGTGTTTTAGACAAACCCACTGGTTATTTTACTACATGCAAATATTTCAGTATCAGCTAGTACTGCATCAGTGCAATGAAAAAACACATGGTCTCCTTTTCCATTTCACCCACCTCCTATGTCTTTCAAATCCATCCACATTTGTAAAGTGGGCCTGTCAAATTCTGTTTGCACATTCTTTCAACTAGAGATACCACCCATCAGGGAAAGAATTGCATAAGTGTTTCTAAGGAATCCCAGATGCAGGCATGTAGGTGCTAGGCATGTGCTAAGATATTATCGCAGGAAGCGAAAGGAAAACTAGTTTTCTTTGAGGCTTTATCTATACCTGGGGCTTAGAGGAGTGTATGCACATTCTTTAAAAAGGTGGCTGCTTTTCATTTTGTTGTGTTTTCTAGAAAAATGAGAAAAAGTACATCTGTGTCTAGGAAAGTTCTTGAAATGGGGTATATGTTGAATACTTTGGAAGCCCTTCAACTAAATACAGTATAGTTCTCAACCTGACCTGACAACAACTGACTATGTTCTCTAATCCTAGTACCAAGCTTCTGTGTTTCTTTGGAAAATAAAATGCTTTCCTGACAGTACGTCAACTACTATAACCCTCCCCTATATTCCCCTACACAGGCTGAGACTGTGATTTTATACTTGTTTCTTTATAGCATTACACCTTCACACAAAACAATGTTAAACTGTACTTCTATATGGTGGCTATCATTCAATGACAGCCAATACTCTATGACAGGTATTTAGTTTCTCCCATAAATTACAATGTGTATGAAATCTTGCCTTCATTTTTCAAAAAACAAAATGAAATCTTATTCTGAAGTCTTGTCTCATTCAGCTGGTAGAAATTCAATCTCAGCTGTTATTGACTAGTTCATAGTCTACCTTCCCTGTCTTCCTTCAACAAATGTCCTCAGGTTTTAGGCAGAATAAAGTATTCTAGGAGGACCCTCTGGACCTATGTCCACACAGTTCTTTTCTGATAAGCTCATTGGGCAAGGTTACATAGTCCCTTAAACATGTATTGCTATATAGTTTTGAAGGTCACGTAGGATTGGGCCACTTCACCCCTGCTCCCTTAAGCCACCATGCCACCACTTTCTCTTGGAGGTCCAACTGGCTAATTCTTTCCCCCACCCTCTGCTAGAGAGTTTGAAGAATGCTCAATCAGAATCTTAGTCTTATAGAATCTCCCTTTTCTTTTCTGTATTGACATCTAACATGCTCACTTTATAAAATGCCCTTAGTGAACCCAGAAGGGAGATTGCCAGCAGATTTCCCCAATACTACCACTGTCCTATTCACAAACATGCCATGATCACAGGTTTAAACCAGGAAGTATGGTTACTCTGACAGCTGGAAGGTCTTATAGAATGGGAAAGTGGGGGTTGATAAATTTGACTTAAAAATCTACTTTTGTATCTCAGCTGACAGAGTTCCAGAAACTCAAACTTCCTACTTCAAACCTACTACTTTCATTACGATTCAATTATGTTTACTTAATATAGGTATGTATTGTTAGCCCAAACTCAGTCTAGGTGGGGCACATGACACAAACAATATACAAGTCAAATTTCTATCTTTAAGATCATTCTTATGAACACATGAGACAGTGATTCCTGATGGGGAGTGAAATTTGAGGTATCATGGGAAAATGGCTGGCCTTAAAACTCCTTCCTTTATCTGTCTTGGTGAATCAGACCTCAGATCTAAGTATCCAAAAACAAAGGGCAATCTGGAAAACACAGCTATGTTTGTTATTTGCTATTCGCTACTTCTTTCATCTGGGTTATATTTAATCTTTGCAACAGTCCAATAGTATAGATATTTTTATTAGTGTATGTTTGTGATACATAATAACTCCATTCATTGTGGTGAGATGGTACATTGCACCTTAATCTTTCTTATTTCCCTTCCTCCCTTCCTAGGCTTCTACTACCCCAATCCCTGCTCCCCTTTTCATCTCCAAAGAGTCTGGCTCCCTGTTTCCTATCATCTCTCTTTTATTTTGCTCTTTATTTATATTTTGTGTTTCTCATATAGAAGAATCCATGAGATACTTAATCTTCTAGGTCTGATTTGTTTTACTTTGCATTATGGCCTCAAGATCTAACCATTTTCCTATACATGACTCAAATGTATCCTTCTTTACAGCTGAGTAGTGCTACACTGAATATATGCAGTACTTATAAGAGAAAAACTGAGGCTTAGAAAATTTTAATCATTGGGCCAGGGAGATGACTCCATAGAATAAGTGCTTGCCTGGCAAGCACAAGGGCCTGAGTTCAATCCCCGGTTCCACAGAAAGAAAGAAAGAAAGAAAGAAAGAAAGAAAGAAAGAAAGAAAGAAAGAAAGAAAGAAAGAAAGAAAGAAAGAAAATTTTAATCACTTGCCCAATCACTCAGCCAGAAAGTGCCAGAGACAGTATAGAAACCCAGGTACATCTGTTTGACATGAGATCTCTACAGTCTTTACTGTCAAGGTGGCTCTCAATTTAGGGTCTCCAAAGACCTAGTAAGGGACATTTCAGAGATACACTCTCACTATCACAGAAAACCTCTGATCAAGCTGGCTGCTCAGGATAACCTCAGGAAAGTACAAGTTTTCAGTGTGACAAATTGGTAGTGGCTGCCATGGCTAATTAGTACTACATCACAGGGCAGGTGGTAGTGGAGCGCAGCATTCATACCATGTGCTTGCCAGTATTTGACTGATAAAAACATCATGTTCCCTTGCTCCAGGCTAGAATAATATCCACTTACTGTGTTAACAAAGACTATCTCATTATGACCAAATGTCTTACTGGCTTGACTATCACTGAAATCATGAAAAAGGGTACTTTAAACTTAGGATGGTCTTAATTTTTTATTGTAACTAGGATTATTTTTGAGAGTACAAAGAGGCACTGCTAACAATTACACCAGAACAATAAGAATAAACCAGGAAGTATGGGCATCAGTTGGTTAGGTGGAGGAAGGAGGGATAGAAAAATCATCACAAATTCAGGAAAGGGGAAACGTGAGAAAGTTTCTTTTGTCTTAGGACTGCCCTGTTTCCATCTTAAATCTCTTAGGAGATATTTTACAAACATCAGGCACTTACTACATCTAAGGCACTGGAATTTTATCAGTGAGCTAGATAAGTAAGGGAATATGGTAAAAAAAATTTAAAAAAGAAAAAACAAAACTATGATTCCTTATTTAATTTTGGTAACTTATAAATTATAGGGTACATACAAGGGGCTTGAGAGCATATAAAGGGAGATTTGACCTAGTCTGGAGATTGTATTAAACTTAAATTAAAAGGATTAGAAGACAGTAACAATATTATTCACATGTAAAGAGGCTAAAAGTGTGATAGGGATCACATTTTTTGTCCCTAGCAAATTCAGCTCCAGCTCTAGGCCCCGTCTGCCCAGATTGGTAAGAAGTTGTCTATCAGTACTGAGGGGTAATGGTTTAGATTTCCTACTAGAACCATATACCATCATTCTGGCTCCATATGCTCAAATGGCACCACTTCTGTCCCTAATATGGGGTGTTTGGCTTGGTTCTGATAAAGGAAGACAACTCTACTCTGTAAGCCCAACCCAAAGATCCCTTCACTAAGTGTGGACTCTATGGGTACCACATAACCACTTTTTCAAAAGTTCTATATAAGTTCCAGTTCTGCTTTTATTTGCATTTAATGTGCATTTAGGGTTAAACTATCTCAAAAATAACTGTTCTGGTCCATTTGAAGTATAATGGAAAGCATAGCAATTCAGAAACAAATCGCATGTGATTGTACTTATATGAAGTCACTAGTCAAATTCATAGAAACATAAAGTAGAATACTGGTTGCTGAGGCTGGAGAAAAAAGAAAATGGGGAGGTACTATTTATTGGTACAGTTTTAGTCTGGAAAGATTTTAAAATACCCTATAAATTATAAATGGATGATGATTCCATGGGCAATTGTTACAGAACGCCCAGTGCCACTGAACTATACACTAAAAATGGTTACAGTGGTAAATTTTGTTATATGTATTTTACCAAATAGAGATTTTAGTATTTTAAAAATCAAAATGTTTCACTTGTAGAAACTTACAATATGCCAAAGCTTCATTTTTCTACTTTGAGCATAAAGTTTTTAAAATTTCTACATATAGCAGGTACCCATTTAGTTCTTTATCAAGCAATCATAGATTTTCTTAAAACTTACACTTGCCATTTCAGTGTTATAATAACCACTAAAATAAAAATCAATTCAAAATAATAAGTGAGTAGAGGTACATATCACATAATAAATGCCTGATACAGATCCATGCAAATATCACTTCTTACTTTGTGTCTTTCTATGCGGTGGAGTAAGTTTAAGTCTGTGGATTCGGATATCCCACCATGTATGACCAGGATTTCATTGTCAATGATAGACCCAATTGGGATCCAGGTGTAGAGTTCTTCCAAGGTTTGCAAGATTTTTTTCCCATGTATCTGTAAGTAAGAGCTTAAGTAAGTTTTGATTTTTTTTTTTTGCTTTTCTGCTCAGTTCAGTTTATTATACAGTTCTGTTGTACGAAAAAAAAAAAAAAAAGCAACAGTTTTCATGCCACCCAAAGGGAATCAGGCGGGAACTACTACCTAACCAACATGTATTAATCATGTTTTTTAAATTCTGTTTTGTATTTGCAGTACTGGGAATTGAACCTAGGAGCTCTCCACCATGTAGCTAACTCTATAGCCCTTTTTAATTTTAAAACAAAGTCTTGCTAAGTTGCTCATGTGGGCTTTAATTTACAGTTCTCCACCCTTAGCCACCCGAGTAGCTGAGATTATAGGTATGTGTCACCATGTTTAGCTTTTTATTCTATAGTTTTGATGCGTTGACATCTTGGGCCCTTGCCAACCTCATGGTGCTAATTGCTAAGGATAATAAATGACTTAAGAACAGGCCACCCCTCCACGACTTCTTTTATTGGGCTCTCACACTCAAAGCCACTATCTCTTGCCTTAATCAGCCAGAAAAAAAGTACCAGACAACTAGAGCAAACCCTTATGCCCCAGAGCAGAGCAACATTATTCATACTCAATCAATCTTAAACTTGATTGCACTGAGGCATCTTGCCCATTCCCTCACATGAGAATCAGCTCCTTCTGCCTTCTAAGGGATTCTGGTATTTCCTTCCCTACGTGCTCTCCCCAGTGTGGCATGCACTGTCTCTTGTTTCTAAGGAACTGTGAATAAAAACCTTCCTTCATGACACTCAGTTTTATGTTCTCTTATTTTTCCATACCTGAATAAAACAAATTCTAGAAGGTACATTTAAAGCAATGAAATATGCTCCTATTGATGCTGAAATGGACACCAAAGTTACAATTAAAAAGCTTGCTTTAGTAGAGAAAGAAAATATAAGACTACCATTGCAAAGGCTTCCTGCTATGCTTGTATTTTATTAGCATGAATTCTCACTAGTTGAACACATCACCTTTCCTAAAGCAACAACTCAGGCTTTGTTGGGTCTTTTTGACTTCTATGCATCAACACCAGAGAATGAAATTTTTAAAAAACAAAAAGTATGACTCTTACCTTATATTTATTCAAAATTTCTTTTGTGAAGCCATACCTGAAAAAATGGGATTGAGACTATTAATTGTTAGTAACGCCTACTTATATGAGTCATGAAGCAAAAGGAGCCCTTGACATCTCACTATAATCAGTACCAAGAATTCAAGCAACTAGACTTGAGTTGCAACTGTTAGTTGCCAATGTCTGTGCTAGGCATGCTGGAAAGAACAAAACCATCCAATGGCATCTGCCTTACTCCCAAGAAGCTTAGAGCACACCTGGAGAAATAAAACAGATTTGCATGAAATGATTATAAGATGTAATTTAAGAAAGATGTGGCAGACAAAGGTAGCAATTTTTTTAAGAGGTGTATTGTGTGTTGTGTGCTGGAGGAAGTGGTGTAGGAAAAGGCTTTCTTATTCAGATAGAATTTCTCAGTTGTCCTATATTTTATAGTAAATGATCAAAAAAATGAGAAGACTAAACAAAGACCAAAAAAAGCCTAGAAGGTAACTTGTTGGTTCTTTATGGTTTTTCTGGTATAGGTCATGAAATGAACAATATTGAGAATTTTAGTTGAAAGTACTGGGGAATTACAACACCTGGCTAGCTAAGAGAGATTTAATTTTTTCTTCAATTACTTTTCCTTGTTTTAGGATGATAATATGTGTTCTTTTTTTAATGTTAGAAATCAGCTGGGCTCACCCATTGCATGTTTAATGATACAAAAGTATAACTCTTCAATAAATAATAAAATATCCATGGAGTATCTTGATAATATGTATTCTTAATAAGCAACACAGTAAAGTAGGAACACTCCAAGTTGTCATACAAATCACCTCAGGTAGATTTCCACAATTTGACATTGTTTTCTGTGGCGTCCTCCTGCGTTCACTAAAATTACATGTGTTGTTAAACCAGTTTGCACCTGGAAGCTTCTTTCTCTGAAACACTGAATATAGTTGGCTGTACTATCCTTCTGGAAAATGTCTTCTTTTGGATTGGATGCCAGTAAACTCTTGGTTTTCCTCCTACCTTTCTGGTTATTCTGAAGCTCCTTTGCAAGTTCTCCTCTACCCAGCCTCAAATGTTGGAGCTTCTTCAGATTCTATCCAAAACCCTTTCCTCCCTTCAACTTTTTCCTTAGTAATCTCATCCCTGCCCATTCAGGGCTTCAGTTACTATCTAGTATCAACACCACAGAGCAATACTCCAGGTTACACTTTATTTCTCATCTTTAGACACATATACTCTACTCTGTACTCAACAGCACCAGAACAGCTTATTCCAAATGGAATTCTTCATTCTCCTTCAGAATGATGTCATTACACCCCTAACCTTAAGCCAGGAAGTTGGAGGTCATCCTTGGATCCTTCTTCTTTCCAGACCCTCACATCTTGAGGCTATTGATTGTTCATTCACCAATGCCTAATGTCCTCTTCAATCTCTTTACATCCCCATTGCCACTACCCTAGTGTGAGAATCTATCAAGATCTTCAACTGCTTCCCAATTGACCTCACTGTATCTGTTCTTGCCCTCTCCAAGTAATTCTTCCTGCTACATGTTTGGTTTTTTTTTCTTTTTTGGAGGTACTGGGGATCAATCTCAGGACCCTGTACTTGCCAGGCAAGCACTTATACCACTGAGCTATATCTCCAGCCCCCTACTACATTTTAAAAGCATAGGTTGTATGATATTCTTTAATGATACTATCTTGTGGGGCCAGGGAGATAGCTCAGTGGAGTAAGCGCTTCTCTGGCAAGTGCAAGGGCCTGAGTTCAATCCCCAGTTCCACCAAAAAAAAAAAAATACTATCTTGTCCTTGGAAGTCCAAATTCCTGTGCACCATTCAACTATTTCTCATATCCCACCACTATCAGTACCACCTTATCTGTCATTCTATCCTTTTGTCTTCTTGAACTTCTTTGAAATCTAAAATGTCTTGCTCCAAGCTCTATATTAGTTATTCTCTCACTGTGTAACATTCTTTCCCATCCCTCCACCATACCTCTCTTGTGACCACTTAATTCACCCTTGAGGTCCTAGGCTACTGCCATACTTATATGGGAAAACTTTCTATCACCCTTCAGACAAGGGAGATGACCCCTTTATAAAACATCATATTTGAAAACCCTGTTCAACGTGGTGTTTCCCACTATATATAAACTCTTTTTCAAATGGGAAGGTGAACAAGAGATGGTGGGAGGGGAAGGGGAGGAGGGGTAAAAAAATTAAAGAAAAAAGAATTAAAGAAAAATATTGAAATTAAACTTTTTGCCAATGGAGAGAGAAACCTGAAGGGAGAGGGAACAAGATAAAAAATAATTCAGAAGTGTTATATATATGTACAAATCCACCATGATGAATGCCATCATTACATACTTCAAACATGAAATATTTTTTAGAGGAAGAAAAAATATTTCTACATGGTCAGAGGTGGTGTGTCTTTTATTAACTTTATCCATATTTCATTTTTTAAGGTAGAGTTTCATTATATACTTCAGGCTGGCCTCCAATATGGTATTCTCCCACCTCAGCCTCCCAAGTGTTGACACTGTAGGCATGCACCATCAGACTTGGCTTCTTTCATTAACAACTAAAAACAATAAACAAATAAAAATGGCTAGCTGAAAAAATTAAAGAATAAATGGCATGCCTAAATAGAAATATAGAGCCACTTTTTATAGAATTAGATTCTGATAATAGTTTGGGATTTTTTTTTTAATTAAGTCTCAGCATTTGGTTTTTCATACATTGAGAATTAGAATGGAAATTCTGTTCTCAGGGCATGTGTCAAAAGGCCAAAAAGATAAAACTAATCAATTGCTGAGCTTTGATTGAGGCACCCAAAGTCCCAGGACAAAAGGCATAAAACATGTCATGTCTTCTAGTACCCTAGATCAAACTGATTTTTGTCTTTCTTAAAATGAGAAATGAAAAGGGGGAGGAGAAGGAAAAGATTTGTCACCTACAATGCCTTTCTGAAAAAATTAAACTATTTAACCAATCTTTATTCCTCAGTCTCTAGTGAGTCAGATAGCTGAGATGCTATGTCACAGCTATTCTCAAGACTGCTTATGAACAACTATGTCAGAAGCAATTACCATGTCATAAAAATACATGCATCAGTGAACAATATGGTACTCATTTATGAGACAAGATTTGAAGCAAGCCAGAAGAATAGCAACACAACTATTCCATCTAAGTCTGTGTAGAACCTACCAATCTTCCTAATCTGGCCTAACACTCCTACCCAACATGCACTTGGGCTAGAAGCAAGAGAAGGAACACTATAAGAGGGCAAAGGAAGAACAGGATGGGAGGAAAAGACAAGAAGGGGCTTTAGAGCTACTGATACTCTGTTGAAAACTAGGGTGCTCCACAGGAGGAAGAACTGAGGTCTCCTTGAGATTCCCCTCATTTCTTCTTCTCTACCCTCATCTCTTTCTGAAGAGAACTAAAAAAGGCAGCATTTTGCAGGGTGGGAAATAAAACAGTAAGTCTAAAGGCTGCTGTTACCTCATATTCATCATAAAATCTTCGTGGTTCCCTCTGTTCAAGTGTATGTCCTTGGGGTAGACAAGAAAACTCACAAGTAGGATCATTAGGACCTCCATGGAATATCTTCCTCGATCTACAAAATCACCATTAAAGAGATATGGATTGTTCTCTGAAGGGAGACCATTCTGTGGAAGGAAAAGAGGAGGAAAATCAAACAGTTAAAAGAATGTTTTTTTCACAGTAAGGCTTTGTACATGCTGTCCCTGTGGATATGTAGAAAAGAGGCTGAGTCAGTTCTTTCCCTGAAAAAAAAATCTGCTCGCTTGATTGAACTAGTCTCTCTCTTCCAGGGTAGGCAGGATTCACTTGGGAAAGCAAGATCTCAGGTGGGGGTTGCTCTTCTGTCCATCACCTACTATGAGTTTTCTCTAAAAGGAATTTATCTATTTATTTTTTTTCTTGGCAGAACCAGGGATTAAAATCAGGCCCTTATGCTTGCCAGGCACTTATTCTACAGAGCTATCTCCCTGGACCCCTAAAGGAACTGATCTTTGTGCTATCAAAAATGCCTATGCTCATCTCTTCCTTTTCTCCTTAAGAGAGAAATTTCTATCCAAGAAGTACACTAAATTAACTAAGAGGCAGAAACGTGCTCCAATGTGCCCAACATTTAACTTCTCTAGGCTATAATTCACTCGATTTGCAAAATGAAGATTATACCATATTCCTGCAGATCTCCTGAAAGGGTAGGCATGAAAGTATCCAGGCAAGTGGAAGATGGATGTGATGTGACTGTGACCAAGGCTGATATTCCAGTGGGCACAGATGCAACCACAACTGGTGTCTAGAGCTGGTATATATTTAGCTGTTTGCTGGCAGGGCCATATTAATTGTTAGATATTTTGAATATCACTCCTTAGCAATAAGCTGTTTTTAAAAGCAATGTTAGAATGAAAAAGAGCTGACTAGAGGACAAAGGACTGGGTTTATAATAGCTATCATTTAGTCCTACATTATAAAACTCTAGAGAAAAAGAAATATATGTAATATAGTTACATTTTCTATGTTATGATAAGGACATGGAATATTCCAGAATATATACCCTGGTAAGGAAATAGCTGAGCGCATTTCTATTGCATAGTAAGATAAATTTTAATGTCTTAAAAAGGAAATAGTGAATTACTCATACCATATGAAAATATATATCAACAAATATATATTTTCCCTAAAAAATCTATCTTCATGAAATTACTTATTTAAAATATGGATTTATTTGTGACTCATTTCAAGTGTTTGAGTATGGGTGTTGCATGGCAATTTTAGTTCTAAAATACTAAGATGCTTTAGTATTATCACTAGTCAATTATGTTGGAACATTTGCCTCTCTTTCCACTATATCTTTGTTGCCTAATTTTTTTGAAATATCCAATTAAACTTCTGAAACTTGAAAAACAAAATCTATCTTCATGAAATATTATGAATATTAGTGTTAATATCTATTCTAGCTATATTAGTATTTTTCAAACTTTAATATTCTGTTAGTTTTCAAACTATATTAGATTTTATTACTTTTACTTATCCTCCTGTTTACATACATTTTAAATTATTCATGGCAATATAATAAAAAGAGTTGGAAAATATAATGCAAGTTATGACACATACTTGAGGGATTCCAGAAATCGCTTACGTGGTGTAATATGTTCTGAAGACAAGTAGAAACAAACAAGCAGTGGCAGAGTGTAATAAGAAGACTAATATTCTGGTCTAGTTCTAGTTATTACCCAGGTGTTGTTGGACAAATTCTTTCATCTTTTCTCCTATAAAATGGGGATAACTTTGATACTTGCCATTCAGGCATATTTTGTGGTTGAGATGGGATTCTGCTTATAAAATCACATAAAAAACATAAGGCACCACATAAATTGTGAGATTCATTTTATTATGATTTCCATGCTATTTTTACTTTTAAGATCGCACTGTTTTACACTTTCTTAATATATTAATCTGTATAACCTCATATGTAAGTCTTAGATAGTATAAGCAATTATAAAACTATAGGCTACTGCTCACTCATCAAAACCTAAAATAGAAGGATTTTGTATCTCTGATACTCTTCCTTCCCACAGCCGTCAGCTGACTAGAATCAGCAGCTGGAGGACCAGGAAAAGCAAGAAGCTGCTAACTGTGTTGTGAAGATGCCCAGGCTCTGAAGGGAGCAAGAGGAGCAGAACCAGAGAGCCCTGGGGTGAAAGCCTAACAGGACTAAGCTGATAAGACCCACAAATGCATTTACTAAGGGGGAGTAGCATGTGAGGAATGTGGTTGGAAGGAGGGGTAGAACACTGGATCTTACTAGAAAATGTGCAGGGGAACTTCTTCCATAGCAAAAAACTAGAACGTGCACACTTGCACTTAGGGGTACTTAGGAACACAAAAGCTTCCTTTCACATCCTTGACACAGAAGTGCAAAGTATTATTTCTCCAACTGTAGAGAGTTTAAACCAGCTTAAGCAGAAAATAGCAAGTGGAAATAAGCTGATGCTTAAGAGAATCCAGCAATGAGAGAGAGAGAGAGAGAGAGAGAGAGAGAGAGAGAGAGAGAGAGAGAGAGAGAGAGAGAGAGAGAGAGAGAGAGATCAACCCACTGTGCTAAAAGCAGATGGCCCCTAATGAAACAGGCTTTCTGGAGGAGACTGAGGACAATTTTAATTTTTAAGGAATAATAAGAACAAGAGCATAAAATAAAGAATAAAAGGCTAAAAGTTCTCAGCATTAAAATACACTGTTCAGTCTGGGAATAGTAGCATATACTTATAATCCCTGCTACTCAGGAGGCTGAGGCAAGAGGATTGAAAGTTCATGGTCAGTGTAGGCAACTTGCTGAAGTGCTATCTCAAAATTTAAAATTAAGTAGGGAGGGAACATGGGGATGTGTTCAGTGATAGAGCACTTACCAAGCACAAATTTAATTCCCAGAGCATAAGTTTTTTGTTTGTTTGTTTTTCTTGTGGAGCCAGGGCTTGAACTCAGGCCTTTGCGCTTGCCAGGGAAGCACTTATTCCACTGAGCCATCTCCCCGACCCTCCAGAGCATAAGTTTTAATCCCCAGTACCCCTGTACACACATGCCATTTGAATTTAAAATATCAGTGGATTAGTGCTAACCAAAAAAAAAAAAAAAAAAAAAAAGATTGTGAAATACATCATTGACCTGAAAGAGTGATCAAATAAAATCTTTCTCACACAGAACAAAAAACAAAATGATGAAAATAATAAAGAATGAGACTAAAGTTTAAATAACATGGTAACAAAATATTGTTAAACCAGAGGAAGGCCAACAGGAAGGAACACAGATGTGAACAATGCACCTTGCAATATATAAATAAGCATGAGTTGATACAATACCATGAAAACTGTATTTAAGTACTAAGCAAGGGTTCTAGAAATAGAACAGGAACCTGGATTTTTTAGGGAAGGGTCTACAGTGTGTTGAGGATTTCACTAGTAGATTAGACTCATAGTGATCTGCCTGTTTACAGCCTCCCAAGAGCTGGGATTACAGGTGTGCAGCACCATGCGCAGTCTCATAATTTGCTTAGAAATACAAATACACTAACTTATTCAGATGGACTAGATAGGAATAATGGTCAAAACTTAAAAATATGGCATAAATAATAGCTTGAATTTCAGGAGAGAAGAGGTAAGAAAAGTGAAATGCGCTACAAATTTTATCTGCATGAGGGACATGGAAAATGTGAAAAGAGTTATCTTGCTGGGAAAGTGAGATGGCTGTAGTAAAAGCATAAAGTTATAGATATTTAAGAAATCACAAACACATTACTTATTAGAAATGTCAAGAATGGGGAGACAGTGACTAGTGAAAGGAAAAGCACAGTAAAAACTGCAAATGCAACAGCAATCAATAAGGACCGCTTCAAGCTGGGCACATTGGCATGCACCAGTAATCGGAACTATCTGGAGGGCTGAAGGAGGAAGACAAGCAGTTTAGGGCCAGCCTAGGCAACATAGGAAGACCTTGTCCCACAAAGGAGCAAAACAGAAAAATAAAAGAAAAAAATGAAAGAAAAAAAGAAAAAACAGCTTTAGGAAAAAAGATAAACCAAAGTAAATAGTAAGGTGGTGTTATGGTTTGTGTCTAGTTGTCCCCCCAAAGCCTCTTGCAGTCAGTCATGGGGCAGCTTCTGGAGTTTGTGATTATTATGGGTGTGGATGCTGCACCTTCCCTGGAGCAGGTAATTTGCATTACAATGTAAGGTGGGAAGAGAAGCTAGCTGCTTGAGCTGCTGCTACCCCTCCCTTGTGCTCTTGCTCTTTGCCGCCACCATGAAAGGTTGCCCTCTGCTACGTGCTGCTCTGTGTTGGACCCAGCTGAGTATGGACTGAAACCTCCAGTAACTGTGAGCTAAATAAACCTTTCCTTCCTTCATTTTGAGTGTTGGTATTTGTCCCAGCAACGAGAGAAGAGTAACTGAGACAGGGGAAAATTTTTAAATGCATCTGTTGTTATACTAAATTTAAGTGACTTAAGTTCTCCCATATATACCTTGAACACAAGATATATACAACAAAGAGAAAACAAGAATGAAATCTTAATACTAGAGAAAGTAGAAATCAAGATTAAAACATTAAATAGCAACACTAAATCATAACGAACGGTACTTTATGAAGAAGTTACAGTTAATGTCCTTGTCAATATACAAAAGAACAAGTTTGTGCCTCAGATATTTACTATAAATGCAAGCAGAAATGTTTAATATACAAACATACTGAGTTAATTAAATTGAAGTACTGTTTTAAAATAATATCCATAAATTCTTTGATATTAACTTTAAACAGTAAAGCCTAATTTGCCTTTTCCTGAGTGCGATCTGGACTTAGTGTCTTGTTCCTAATGAACAGCAGACAAAGAACACAGAAGTGATGATGCACAAGTTCAGAAAAGAAGACATAAAAGACACCACAGCTTCCCAACTGCTCCATCTCTTGGATCACTTACGATGGGGAAGGCCAAATGCTATGTCACCAGACGATATAGGTAGCACTGTAGAGAGGTTCATGAGGTTAGTGAGGAGCTGATATGTTATGCCTCAAGCCATGTGAATTAGCCATCTCAAAAATAGATCCTCTGGCTTTAGTCAACCTTTCAGAGGAGCACAGCCTGACCA